CATTCAAAAACTAATAGTTGAAATTCAATGGAAAAAAAATAGGGTCTTTGTGTTCATTACTCGACCGTGAAATTTTAAAATCTATAAAATCATTCTCGCAATAATAAATTAGAATTTCATCATATATCCATTTGATCACATGTTCTTTATATGAATCCTCATCATATATATAAACTTACCAATTATGTCAACCAGTGGTAAGTTAATATTACAATTCGAAAACATGTCTACATACAGATTCTCTTCTAAGGTTTCTGAAAATAGGCACGAACTATTGGGTAGTTGGCGCAAATCTCATGCAGCTCATACTCATCCAACATGCCTACAAGGTTTGCTGCTCGACGGTTCACCATATCTATCAGTTGGTCTGACCCTTGAGTCAAGACCCCCATCGATTGCGAGACTCGATTTCAAGAAACTCATGCAACTAGCAGATCCTAGTCATTAAGCTTGTTCAGGTATTACTTGATGTGCAAAGAAGGTAGAAAATTAAATCCATCGACTTTTTGATCCTCTAATAAACAAAAAGTAGTAACAAATGAGATAAATATGACTGTAAATAAAATCAGAAGGACAAAGAAACCCTATTCTTCTTTTATAAAGGAACTCCTCACAAAAGAAAAATACCAAGTCTCTTCATAATGGGGATCTGCCACCTCAAAACATAGATAATAAAAAAAATCCCAATAGTATCTCTCTCTCTCTCGTCTTCCTCTGATGACTCCTACTAGCACCCGCACGTGAATTATCATCCCAACCGGATACCATGTGAACCAACTCGTACACCTTAGGAAGTGTTGTACTAGATCTGCACTGCACATGGCCAACGCATCTAAGTTTGCCTTCTCACATCTTATCGCCTGTTAAAGTCACACCTAAGTTCTCCCGAATGTATTCACTTCGAAATATAATTCTTTTTGTCTTAACACTCATCCTATGAGTATGTTGTTTCTTAACTGCCCAACATCCCGCCCCATAAAGCAAAGCTGATCTCACAACTATCCTATAAAACTTCCCCTTCAGCATCATTAATATTCGATGATCACACAAAACTCATGTTGCATATATCCAATTTATCCACCCAGTTATAATTCTATGTGCGGCATCTTCGTCAATCTCTCTATTTTTCTGGATTATCAACCCAAAATATCAAAAGTGCGCTCTTTTGGATATTTCTTGGTCATCAATCTTAATCCTCGTTTGTATTCCTATTATTACTAAGCTTACATTTCATATACCATGTCTTAGTTCGATTAATTTTGAAACCTTCGTACTCTAGAGCATCCCTCCAAAATTATAAAACGTTCAAATCCTTGACGTTCCTACGGATCTCATCGATCAAAACCATATCATATGCAAATAATATGCACCACGATACCTCATCTTATGGGTGCCAAGTTAAGTCATCCATAACTAAGACAATGAGGAATACCTAGTTAAGTCATCCATAACTAACACAAAGAGGAATCAGCTTAATGCTAACCCCGGATGTAGACATTCACTAAAAGCTCACACATCTCTCCACTAGTTGTTTGCACACTACTTAGTGCTATCTCATATATATCTCTCACCAAACCGATAAAGTATCTGAAGACTCCTTTCTTTTCCAACACCCATCGAATCAAACCTCAAGGTATTCTATCATAAATTTTCTCTAAATAAATAAATACCATGTAAAAATCTTTTCCATTCGCCCTAAACTTTTTAATCAATTACCTAAATAAAAAAAGTAGCCGCAACTGTTAACCACCCTAGCATAAAATCAAATTCTTTTTTTAATAAACTCATTTCATGCCTTAATCATTGCTTAAGCACTTTATCCGACACTTTTAGAGTGTGGCTCATAAATTTGATCTTTCAATAATTTGTCCAATTTTTTAAAAATTTTAATATTTTTTTTATTTTTTATTAAAAAAAACAAAAAAATTTAAAATTTTACTCTTTTTTTTCTGTCTAATCACTGGTTGAACTGGTTTTGATTGATTCACCAGTTCAAGCATTTAGGCCGATCCTAATAACACATACCAGTGGTTTCAACGACTCTTTTTAAAAATTCTCATTTTTCCCCTAGTCATTGTAATTTTTCCCCTTGTCTGGAACATCTACATTGTACTAAAGGAGCGCATGAGATTCCACAGCCAAATTTTTCATGGTCCCACAAGAGCGTATTATGCATTTATACCCCCGAAAAAAACCTAATCCAGGGACATTTTTAGGACCCCAAATTTTAGCATGGAACACTTTCCACTGCTAGAGAATAACTTCCAAAAAGAAAAACAAAATCTGATCCCTTTCATTCCAAGATTGGGAAGAGACCATCTAATCTATTTCTCTTGGAAGGCGTGATTTAAGCATTTAGAACATCAAAATCTAAACGTTTTTCTTATACGTAATCTGATCCCATAATTCTAGATCGAAAAGGAACCTCCCAAAAAGATGATTTATTCAATGAATCAAACAATAGGATCTCACCATCATAGCAGTACACTTTCTTCCACTGTCATGATGGCTTGAATTTTTCTTTTTCTGGTTACAAAATTAAATTAGCACATATCAAGCATATCTATAACCACTAGAAATTCTTGAAAATCGACCGTCCAAACAACTTATTTACAAAATGCACTATTTTTTTAACTTTAAACTTTTTTTGGAAAATTTACATATGGACCGGTTTTTTATATCGTTATAACAAAATAACCTCAAAATATCCAGTAATTGTTTTATTTTTGAGTAAATTTGCCACATGCTACCCCTTGACTTACCCCTCAAGACTTTGCTCTCTCTTTATCTCTCCTCTTCCAATCTTGCCTGATCTCGAGCCTCTCTCTCTTTCAAAAACCCAAATTCTCCGTCCCCTTCTTCCGATCATTGCCCTAACGAGTTTCCCTCACCATGCAAAAACTGTTGACCAAAAAGAGCTCTGGGGTTTCATGGCAGGAACCTGAATTAGGCTTGTCAAGGGCTGAGAAGAATTTTGCACCTATAAAACCAAATGGGTTTGCGGGTTGGAGCCAACGAGCTTTGGGTGGAAAAACCCACAAATTTTCCGGGTCTTGCCATGGCATTTCTTGCTGCAAATGCAGGGCTTTAAGGTGGAGAAACAATGCCTTGTTGATTTTGCAGGGGAGATGTTTCTTGCTAGGGCTTTTTGTCCACCTTCTCCTGCACAAGTAAATGCAGGTCATCCACTTTCTCCTTTTAGGTCCTCTTAATGGAACATACACTGTTTAAGTGTTTAAGAAACAAAACAAGTAAATAATGCATACGCATCCACTGATTCCTTCGTAGAAGACCAAAAAGAACATGGGCTCAACTCAGTTGTTCGCCACTCCCCTCGAGCCCCACATCAGGGTCATAGACGAGTGTTCTGTACCCAAGCTCATTCTTACATGAAAACAACAGCAACTTCCCTCCCAAGATCCCAAGCCCAAAACCAATGCATTCACTCCACATCAATGGCATTGGCGCCACCCTCGACGACCCCTCCTCAGCATCACCATTAAAGAGAAAAACAAGGGGGCGAAGAATTTGGGGTTTTTGAAAAAGAGTCGCCCGAAATCAGGGGAGACAGGAGAGAACGAGGAGAGAGAGAAAGAGAGAGCAAAGTCTTCAACAGTGTAACACAAGCAATCAGACCGGGGTGAACTTCGACAAAAAAAAAAGAAATTGGGGATCTATCCTTCCGAGTAATGATGACTTATTTTTTAGCCATTTCATTATAACGATATAAAAAAACAGTCCGTCCGTAAATTTCCCCCTTTTTTTATTTCTTTATATCCATGAATGTCAAAATCAAGATAATCGATTAGAAGGGTTTCCTACTTAAAAAAAATGGCACAAATCGAATAGATCTATAAGCACTTGAAATTTTTTAAAATAGACGGTCCAAAAAACTTCGCTACAAAATGCAATATGTTTTAGACTTCAATTTCTTTTTCCTCTTTATATCCATGTCTCGAGATCAATAGATTAGAAGATTTTCATAACACTCTTTTCTATTAGATTTTTGAAGTGCATCTTACTTTACAATATAAAGTTGCAATCTTCTATACACTTTTTTTTTTGCGAATAATTCGTCCGTTTACTGAACTAATCGGTATTCAATATCAGATTTGTCGCTAGATTCCAGCGAGAGAACAAGCAGTTCACGTACAGCAGGAATAAATATGAAACAAATCAAACCCTACACACGCCGGAAAGTTAAAAACAAGAACACCATACTTATAGTATGCAATTGTTTTGTATGTCATGCATCAAAATCAAATTTAATTTTGAAATGAGGCATGTTTAAAAGTAATTCAATTTCTCAGTCCAAAAATTGATCAGAAAAAAGAACCATAGCAGTAAATACGAAATGTTTAAAAATAATATACATTGGAGTCCATTTTTTTTTGTTCTCACAAGGTATTCTGATAAGTTAAGAGGGTATATAATAGGATACAGGACAACACCAACCAAAATACAGTAATAGAGAACCCCACCTCTGCTGTGGTTGCTTGGGGCCTGAGCCTAACCTTCATAAGCAACAGATCAGTCCACTTGTTCCTGGGTACAAAGAGGCAGGTGTGGTGGTGCTGAAAGTACGAGAGAATTTCATAAGTTTCTTGCTGGGAAGCGTGGAGCAACATACATAGAGATGCTGATGTTACTGAAGTGAGCAAGCATGAGAGAGAGAGAGAGAGAGAGAGAGAGAGAGAGAGAGAGTATTTAGGACAAATTACCATTGTACCTAAACAAATATATACATATCAGAGCATTCAAGTGTTTGCTTCATTGGTCTGCGAAGTCAAGCCTACCCC